GAGACCCTGAGCCCTAGAAATGCCGAGCGGCTTTCTTTTCTTGTGGACAAACTGTAGGCACTCTGCATTCACTTTAATAACGACCAGGAGCTGGGTTGAGGGTGGAGAGCACAATGATTTCAGGGAATGGCCAGACCTGCATACCTCAGGACCCTTCTCACAGGTCAGCTTACCTTTGTGGTCACCCTTTTCTTAGTCTGTGAGGGTCTCCCACCGCCACCCTCCTCCATTGTAAAATACATGTGCCCCAGGGTCCTGGATCCCTTTCCCTTACTAAAGACACTGTGAGCAAATGGTTCTGAAGGCTTGGGTGCAGTTTCCCAGCTTCCTTGCAGGCTTTTGTGGTTGCGGATCCACGTGTCCAACTATTGCTTATGGGGCAGCACAACAAGCATGTGCTCATGCTTCAACCTGAACTCAGCACACAGTCCACAGTCATATCCCCTCCTCCCTCACACACAGGGTTTCTTTGTGCAGCCCTAGCTGTCCTGAACTTGCTCTGTAGACCAGGCTGGACTTGCTCAAACTCAAGAGATCCACCTGCTTCAGCCTCCCAAGTGCTTGGATTAAAGGTGTGGGCCACAACTGTCCGGCTCCATTGTCATATCTGTTTTTGTTGTTGATGATGTTTTGTTTTTGAGACAGGGTTTCCGTGTAGCCCTGGCTGTCCTAGAACTCACTACGTAGACCAGGCTGGCCTCAAACTCAGAGATCCCCTGCTTCTGCCTCCTGAGTGCTGGGATTAAAGGCATACGCTACCACTGGCTGGCCCATTTGTCATATTCTGTACAAAGCTTGCTTCCTTCTTTTGTGTTCTAGACTTCAACAAACCGCTGACATCAGACATTGGGGAGTAGCCTTGTCTTCTCCTTTACCCTGTGTCACCAAGACCTCCAAGTCTGCTCTTTCCAGTGGCTCCCCTTCCCCAGGACACTGGCACCACAGTTACCAAAACCTACTCCTAGTGATCTCCTCTCCATACCTTAAACAAAAACAAAGCTAGGCGGTGGTGGCACACGCCTTTAATCTCAGCACTCAGGAGGCAGAAGCAGGTGGATTTCTGTGAGTTCAAGTCCAGCCTGGTCTACAGAGTGAGTTCCAGGACAGCCAAAGCTATTACCCAGAGAAACCCTGTCTGGGGGAGAGGGGGAGTTCTTTTACAACATGGAAGATATCAGTATTCGTTATCTATTAGCACTTCCCTATTATTATTATTATTTGAAATAGGGTCTCATGTAGCCTAGCCTGGCCTTGAACTCACCATGTCACCAAGAATGGCTTTGAACTTCTGATCCTCTTCCTCTACCCCACCAGTGCTGAGGTTACAGTTGTGGGACACCATATTTAGTTTACACTGGGTGGGAACTGAACCCAAGGCTTAGTTCACACTAAGTATTCTACCAACTGAGTTATATCCCCTGTCCCTAAAATTACACACAATGTATTCCGATTCTCACTAAACTATCAGACAAACCACCACCTGATTATGAGCAAAGAGCAGCTCCCAGCTTTCCCAAAGAGGTGTACCTAGAAATACAGACTGGTAAAAAGCCTGCAAGCTGTCCTCTCTGCTACTGTCCCTCTCAAGACCTCAGATACAACCAAAGCCCCTCTGCACTAAAGGAACTATGGAAGCAGCATGCTGTGGGTTTACAGAAAAGAAAAACCAAAGTTTTATCAGAGGTTCAAGATCCAAAAACAAAAGAGAGAAAACTATTAGAAGAAAATGTAGTTTTGGAGCTAAGAGCTCCACTGTAGAGTCCCTCCATCGGGAGAGAAGTTCATTTAGTGGGCATGAGCCTCCTCCTGGAAGATGTGCTGGCAAGCAGGAAACAGCCCGATCCCGGAGCACCATTACACCACGGATGAGGAGAAGAGCAGCGTGGCAAGCATTCAGCGGGGTCCGATAGTTTGAGTGTGGTTTGTAACAGGTTTGGGGACAACCCGAAAGCAGACATGGAAATCAGGTTGTAGTCTACCTGTGACCGGGCTCCTTTATGAATTCAGAAAGTAGCAGAGAGGAAAAAAGACCCAAACCATGCTAACAAAAATAAAGACAAAAATTCTTCAAAGCAAAAAAGAAAACCTTCTCCCAGTTATGATAGTAGGGGAAGGAGACAGAACCTACATACTCAAGTGATGTAATTTTGGCTGCCCTATTTGTGCTAAATCAAGTTAACCTCAACTGAGTTGTCTTTACTTTTCATTCTGAGAGTGGCCAACAGATCTAAGAAAAAGAAAGGGCTGCACTTTTTTACGTCTTCCTGGCTACCTTGTTATCCCATGCTAAGGCTGCTTTGGTTTGCTACCTTGAGTTACACATCAGCTAAGTAGTGACGTCTCCCGCTCTGTGCACAAAGAAACTTGAAAATTTAAAAACAAAGTACCCCATGCCCCCCATGGAGTGCCTTTTGTTTTCCTATGACCACCAATAATACACTGAACATGGTAGCCAAAGTTAATAGACATAATAGCAGGGAAAAAAAAACCCCAAAGTTACAATAAAAACTTTATCATTCATTTCCAAGTCCTAACCCATTAACAGTTTCTGGCCAGGAGCATCTTCTCTGATGATAAAACTCCCTACAGGGAAGTTCTTCTCATCCCCTGAGCAAGTGTACTGTGCTAGGTGCTAGAGGGGAAATGGCAGATACTGTCCCTCTCCGATGTCATTTCCTAGCCAGTTGTTTCTTTCACAGGTATGACATCCTTAAATTTTGCTTTCACAGTTAGCTGCCTTTATGGATTGAGTGAGACTTCCTCAATGCCCACTTCAAGGATTCGGTCTCTTCCAAACCACTATAAGGTATGCCATCAATTCCTATTTATTTCCACCATTCTTAAAATCCACATGCAATCACTACATTTAGTCTTTATTACCTTAGCATAGAGATCTGTCATTTTTCTTAAAAAAAAAATAATAATAAAGAGCCCTCCCCCCAGTATCTAGCCTACTGTTTGGGACAGTTTATCTTTTTTGTGTGTATGTCAGTAATGGCAGGCTTGTCTGTGACATTTGCTATTGCATTACTGACAGGCATAACCCTGTCTTGGATGAGAAAGCTCTCATTCTGATTTTGTCCATGTGAACCAGAGTTTGGGAAATACTGTGTACAGAAGCACCCAGAATCTTACCCTGGCTCCTCCTTCTCTAAGTTGCAGGGACATTATGGGAAATATCTCACGATACATTTACTTCCAACCTGAATTTCTCAGTTTGGTACTTTAACTTAGGAAGTATGAGTTCTGCATAAATCACACTGCTTGTCAACACCCACACATAAGCCTCCTTGCTTTGACAATCACCCTCATAGAACCAGAGAGAGGAGCCTAATTTGGTAGACTATAATAAATGTCTGTTTCCATCGCAGAATAGATGCTTCTCGGGTTCAACGAAGCTTTGAATGTTTCCCTTAGTGGAAAGTAATTCTCCCCTGTGTCCTTGACACCCACAGAGTAGAAATCTCTCCTCTGGCAAAGATGAGTAATCACTTATATGACCCCAATACGGCTGGGCCTTCCATTTTCCTCTAGTACTGTCTATGGCAGCAGTGGGAATTGATGGAGGGGCTTTAATCTCCAGACCTGAATGTTAAATCAATTCTACAATTTCCCCCTGCTACTCTGCACTTTCTCATTCCCATCCTTATCTCTTCTCCATTTTTCTTCCTTCCTTCTGGCCTCTTTTTTTTTTTCCCCCCCTCCTTAACCAGTGACACTCTCTGGGGTGGTTTGAAAATTTTACAGCATACAGGCTAAAACTCCCTCGTGATTTTCACACCTTTCTTCAAGCAAAACCTGGATCAGCATCTTTGAAACCAGTGTCCTACACAGTTTGGTTGATTCAATGACTCCTCCCCGCCCCCCAAACAGGAGTATTGTAACACATCACACACACACACACACACACACACACACACACACACACACACACACACACACACACACACACACGCCCAAACTAAACCAGTCAGCAAGATCCCACCTCCTGAAATGTGATAGGTGATAGTAGGGATGACTGAGCAAGACTGGGGGAGGAAATGCCCAGGGTTTCAGGAGACAGGCTTGGCCTACTACTGAGGTAGGAGCTGTTTTCACTCTCAAACAGTCCCACCCTCACCTAGGCCAATGCGGTCGGACACCCCACTCTGGAACATGCTGTGCAAAGGGCGAGTCCTTCAGGCAGAGTAGAGGGCACCCAAACCCAGGAGTCTCAGGGTCATCCTGGCCTTGACCTGGGGCAATGTCCTGGTGCAGGGGAACCCATCCTGGAAGGGGGCTGCCACGCAAAGGCCCGATTCTCTGCCCCACCTCCCCAAGCAGGAGGACGTCCTCCAGGGTGTTATCAAGGGGCCGTGACCTGGGGTAACATCCTGGTGCCATGGACCCTCACCCTGGGGAGAGGGTACAGCTGTGCAAAGGCCAGGTCCTCCAGCCGGAGCAAGGTCTCTCCTGACTCTCACCCGGGCGTCTCGGGGGTCATCCAGACCCTGGACCTGGGCCGACGCCAGGTGCAGGGGAAGCCCGGACTCTAGTTGGGGTTACTGCGGTGCAATGGCTGGGTCCTCCAGCTGGAGCAGGGTCTATTCTGACTCTCACTCGCGCGTCTCGGGGGGGTCCGGTCCCAGACCCTCCCGGGTCCAGGGGAGCTCAGCCTAGAGCTGCAATCCTCCCTCCGGAGCTGAGGCGCCCTCACCCTCAGCTGTGCCGTGTCGGGCGGGGCTGCAACAGGTGCGCGGCCTCCCAGCTCCCCCGCCGCCTGCCCTGCCGTTACCTGCAGCGGCGGCCACCGAGGCCGAACGGAGCCAGTGGGAGCTTCCCGAGCTCGGCCGACGCACGCGTGGTCCCGACAGAAGCTGACGGCGGCTTCCCGAGCTCGGGGCGCGGCTCCGCCTGAGCAGCCGAGGTCCCCAGCCCCGACCCCCTACGCCGCTCCCGCCCGTGCGCGGCTCCGCGTTTCCACGTCACTTTTTGGTCCCTCCCTCTCGCCGTCTGCCGGGCCCCGCCCGGCCCCGTCCGCGGTTGTCAGGACAACCCGAGCGACGCCCGTCACGGAGAACAGGCGTTAGGAGGGCGGCGCCGCCAGGGCTCGGCCCGAGGGGCCCGGGGAGCAGCTGACCATGGAGCCCTACAGTAAGCGGAGGGCTGGGGCCTGGGGTGCAGGCAGATAGGCCAAGCCCGCCGGGCCAGGTCTCGAACCCAGGGCCATACGATCCGCAGATTCCACAGCGCACTGCTGAAGCCCTCAGGAGTAGTGGGTTCATTAATGGTAAATGGTGCTTTCTGAGTCTTAATGAACCTGCAAGGAGCCTGGGCCTAATATTTATGCGATCTTGCCTCCCCTCGACCTTATTCCAAAAGTCTGGGGTATATATAACTCATGTGCGTCCTCCCAGCATAAGATACATAACAAACTTTCATCATTTTTTTTTTAAAGTTTCCTCGTTCTTCGTTGCTTGTCAGTGTGCTTGTGCATGTATGTGTTCGTGCACATGTATGCAGGTGCCATATAGGTGCACGCTTAAGTGGGTGGTGTCATTTCTTTTTGTTGTTTTTGTTTTTCGAGACAGAGTTTCTCTGTGTAGTTTGGAGCCTGTCCTGGAACTTGCTCTGTAGATTAGGCTAACTCCGAACTCACAGAGATCCACTTGCCTCTGCCTCCCTGTGCTGGGATTAAAGGCATGCCGCCACCGCTGCCGCCGCCGCCACCACCACCACCACCACCCAGCTCAGGTGTCATTTCTTAAATGCCACCCACCTTGGTTTTTTAATTAAATTTTATTTTAATGTGTGCAGATGTTTTGCCTACATGTATGTCTGTGCACCACTTGCGTGCCTTGTGCCTGTAGAGGCCAGAAGAGGGAACCAGATCTCCTTGAACTGAAGTTACAGCCTGCTGTGAGCAGCCATGTGGATACTGGGAATCAGACATGGGTCCCCTTGAAGAGCAGTAGGTGTTCATGATAGCTGAGCTATCTCTTCAGGCTCTCACCTTAGTTTTTGACACAGGGTGTCTCACTGGTCTAGAGCTCTTGTCAACTAGGCTAGGTAAACTGGCTAGTAGAACCTCAGAGGGCTGGAATTACAATCACACCACCACACTTGACTTTTTATATAGGTTCTGGCTCTCATACTTTCTGCAAGCATTGTATGCATGGAGTCATTTCCCCAGCCCTGGGTTGTTGTTGTTTTTTTTTTTTTTTTTTTTTTTTTTTTTAATATTCCAAGTCTTATTTGTCTCATGCAGCCCAGGTTGACCTTGAATTCCTGGCAGGCTTCTGACCCTCCTGAACTGGTGGCAATCTTCATGCCTCAGCATTCTGAAAGTGCTGGGGTTACAACTTTCTTTTTTTCTTTTCGTTTTGTTTCATTTGAAACAGGGTCTTGCTATATCTCTCGGGCTAGCTTGGGACTCACTGTGTAGACCAGTCTGGCTTCAAATTCACAGGTCCACCTGCCTCTGTTTATGGAGTGCTAGGATCAAAGGTGTGGGCTACCAAGAGGGACTACGGTGTTGTGTTTGATAGGGTGTGCTGTTTACAGTTGCTAGAACTGATAAGTGCTGGAACTCACCTGACTGTTGGTTGTTGTTTTTTTTGTTTTCCAACCTTTCCAGGGACTTTGTCCTAGGTGCTCCTTTCCTCCTCCCCACCCAAACTGTTTTATTGCCTCCTTTGTTCTTACAACAAGCACACTGTTTGACAGGAGACTTGAAAGGACTTAAACCTTTACAGGGTTCTGTGCAATACTAAAATAAATCAAGACTTTTTTTTGCATAATTTCAAAAATAAAATCCTAGGGGTAAATTCTGGCATTTAAAAAAAATCATTTCTTAATAACAAGAAAAATTTAGAGACTTTCTCCCCTTTCTTTTAACTTACTTGCTGAACAGAAAGCCTACGAGTTGGGAGTTACAATTGCTTTGGATTGGTAGGGTTTTTATCCAATATCTATCATTTGTTTTTAAAACACACTGGATTGTACATTTTATCAAACCTTCTGGAAAAATAATGAACATACAGCAATGCTAGGACTTTTAGTCTCATAAACTGATGTCAGGCTGTGTGTGATCTTTCCAGAGAGAAATGATCCAATTGATGTGTGTGTGTGTGTGTGTGTGTGTGTGTGTGTGTGTGTGTGTGTGTGTGTCTGTGTGTCTGTGTGGATGGGGGTGGGAGGGGGTCTCATGTATCCCCAGGCTGGTCTCATTTGCACTACGTAACCTTGAACTTGTGATCCTTCAGAATGTTGTGGTTATAGGCCTTGGCCATCCACCCCCACGGGTGCTATGATAGAATATCGATTTGGTGGTTTATAGAAAAGCCCTCTACCAACTTAGCTACACCTTTAGCTGTGAACTCTCTTCTAAAGACAGCAGCTTTATTTCTGTAAGTTTGTGTTACTGTTGAAAGGCATACACTGCAGACTACAAAATCTTCAATGCTCTATGCTTTTATCTGTTCTCTTTCCTGGTTCCTACTGTGTTGCAGCCCTGTGTGGGAATTAAACACAGAGTACAGTGTCTGTTTGGGTCATCTCAAGGGTTGCATCATCCCAAAGACTCATTTAGGAACTACTGCAACCTCCCAAGGTCTGAAACTGGGTAAGGAGAGATAGACAGAGGCTTCCAAGAGAAAGGATGAAGTAGTTGGCTTGCACAATAATCTAGTTAATTATGAGAGGTGGTTCCCATGCGATTTCCCTAGTACATAGGCCCTAAACTCGGGGAAGAAAGGTCCAGGAGCAGAGCAAAAAAATTAAGATATAGTCAACAAGAAGAGACAAAGTTGCCTGGGCAGGGAGAAAACAGATGAACCTGAAAATCTCAATGAGAACAAGCCCAGGAAGGCTTTGAAAGATGAATAAGAAGTTTTATTACATCTGGGGCTGGAGTGGTATCCTGGCAGTTAAAATGCTTGCCTTGCAAGACTGAAGACCTGAATTCCACTCCCCAGAACCCACATAAATGCTGGGTGGGCATGGCAGCTGGCCTGTAATCTCAGCCTGAGAAGTCCCCACAGCAATGTGACTAGCTGTTTGGGCAAGCTCTGGGTTTGATTGAGAACCCCTGACTCAATGAATAAGGGAGAAAAAAAAAACAAACCCCAAAATTTCCAACATCAAACTTGGACATCCAGGCACATGCATGCATCCACACATACAAATATGCACACTCACATAGACACATGAAAGAGTACTTTTAAAATCTGAGACAGGGTCTCACTATGTAGTCCTGGCTGGCCTGGAAGTCAATATGTAGACCAGGCTGGCCTTGAACTCACAAAGATCTACCTGCTTCTGCATTCCAAGTGCTGTGACCAAAGACGTGCCGCCACAACTAACTAATATAAGTTATTACCTCCATGACTTAATGTTTGTTCCCCATCCCATTAAAGTAGAAAATACACACCAAGTTACTTATGCAATATAACTATGAGATTTATCTCCTTTCACAATACTAAAATGTATCTGTATTCATTTTAAATAATTCAGAAATCACCACCTTAGGAAATCTTTCACAATCTAATAAATGCTATTTTGAGTAAGTGTGAACCATAGTCAGTTAATATTTAAAAGGCCTAGTCTAATCTCTGGTCAATATTTGTATCCAACCAGATCTCATCCAAGACAGGAAATAGTTGATTCTTTCAGAGGTAACAGAAGCATGAGGGATATGATACTAACCAGTGCTAACTATAAATAATTTCAATCATACCATTAATGGAATTACAGCAACATTGAGTTGTTAGGCCAGGATTACGGAGAGCGTTTGAAGTCTGTGGATACACTATTCCTTCTGATACTGAGGGGTCACAATAACACCAGAGTAGTTTTATGTAGCACTAGTGAATTGATTAAGAGGGAGGATCCTTCTTAATTACTGTAAAGAATTAGTTGTATGTCTAAGGGCAGCGCTAAGGAACTGCTAGGAATAACCTGCCAGTCCATTCGTTCTGTTTCCACACTCTTAGCTTCCTATTACTTTTAGTAATGATCCCTGTTAGCTGAGTCATTAAAAGCCAATAAACACAAACCTCTCAGACCCCACAGCTGGCTTAAACTCTGGCACTAAGCAAGGGATGGTGGGGCCTTCCGCTGTGCTACAGAATAGTAGCAAGGCAATGAGCCAAGAAATGATTCCCCAGGGAAAGGGCAAATGAAATCAGCTCATGACCTTGGGTTGCTCAGGGTGGCTTGGAGTCTTGGCTTGCACATTTACCTCTAATTATTTTCTTTGTAAACTAACTTTACTATTAGGCAGATAACCTGCATATAAGATCACACAGGGAATGTGTGTCTTCTTTTTCTTTAAAAGTAATTTAAACTGAGCATTGTGGTATACACTTTTGATCCCAGCACTGGGTAGGGATGGGGCGGCACTGAGGCAGATGGATGTCTGTGAGTTCTAGGCCAGGCAAGGCTAGATAATGAGACCCTGTCCCAAAACAAAGGACAGCAAAACCCATTTAATTCCAACAGTACCATTCTTTCCCTAATATCTAATACCAGGAGTGGATTTGGGTATCTTTGGCACCTTTAGAATAAACAGACAAACCTGAAGAAACCCACAACTTGAATATAACCTGTGCATAATTATCAGATGCAAAAACTGAATTTGTTTATCAAATGAAGCAAGATAGGCCCCTCCCTCCTGCTTCCACTCTCTACAAACCCTGGGTCAGTTACAAATACTGAGTCTGATAAGTGTCAGGTGGATGACACAAGGCTGTGTGTGTGTGAAAAATTTGCATAATTCTATCTACATATATAATTTCTTTTCCTGTACATATACAGCACATCCTGAAGTAGGCCAGGCTACAAAAGCCAGGAGTGTGCCATAGGCCTGTGATCCTAACACTCAGGTGGTGGAGGCAGAAGGATCAGATGCTCAGGGTCATTTGGGTGACATGGTGAGTTCAAGGCCAGCCAAGGATAGAAGAGACCCTGTCTCAAAAACACAAAAAACAAACTCCAAACAGAGGTGTAAAGGCCGAGTTTACTAAGGGGCTGGGGCATCATCCACTAGGGGAGTGCCTCCTCCCTCCAAACCTGTTTGTCCACTTGTCTCTGCCATCTTCCTACTCACTCCAGCAGGAAGTTGGAGTCATCTTAGATTCTTGTTCCTGCACCAA